CGAGGCTTCGCTCCTGCGAAAGGGGAGGGGAGATCTCGACCCACCTACCCCGCGCTGCTGGCGCGACGGCGTCCCCCTCGCAGCGTGGCTCTTACCTTGTCCCTTTCCGAACGAAGTAAGAGCGGGTGAAGTCCCCGTGGTCATCCAGCCAGGCTTCCACCGCTTCCTCCTTGCTCTGCTGTTGCAGCAGCCGCGGGTGGCAGCTGCCCTCCATGGCGAGATCGTCCGCTGACGGCAGCGAGGCGATCGCAGTGCCTGCCCGGCCGCTCCTCTCCTTACGGCTTGCTGCGGATTTCACCTCTTGACCCCGCAGCCCGCCCCCTCCGCGCCCTCCCGGGCTCTCCTCTAGTCCTGGAAAGGCGCGATCCCCGAGGCGCGCTCGGATCCCGGCGCCGGAGCCGCGAGGTCTCCACCCTGCCCCGCCCCCGGGAGCCCTGCCTATCTCCTGGTCCCAGGGCTCCCAGGTGCCTTCCCGCGGTACCCGGACCCGAGCCAGCGCCACGCCTCCTCCCCCGCGGCGATCCAGCCCCCGACGTGCCAGGCGGCCGGTTCCACCTCTCGCGCCGCGCCTGCCGCAGCTCCCCAAGGAGGGATTCCTCCTCCTCCTCCGGCTGTCGCTGCCCGCAAAAGCCCGCGCTGAATGCTGCAGGGCGAGTCTGTCTCTCTCTCTCTGCCCCTTCTCCTCAAGACCTTCATTTTTGCCTTCCGCGATCGCGTGTCACTCTTCCAGGGAGCTGAGAAAGGAAGGTTCAAACGTTTCCTCCTACAGCCCCTGATGGCACGTGCAGGCAGGCACGGAGAGCCTTTGCTTTTCCGTATAGGCCGCTCGCCGAGAGCGCTTGTTGACTTGCGGTGTGCACGTGTGAATGCATCGGGCAGGAAACGAAAGGGGTAGGTGTGGAAGGTCTGAACCCAGGCAGTGCCCCTTCAAATGACAGAAAGATAAAGGACAGAAGGCTTCTTACTATTGGCTTCTTACTATTGAGCGTCTTGTATGAAAGTGCCCCCAGAACGCAAGTGAGTCCCTGTAACATAGTTTGTGGTCAAGTTCGAAGTCTATAAGTGTGAGAGAAAAATAATGAAAAACGCATTGTTTGCTTGGCTCTCAGTCATTGGCACAGCTGTTGTACACTGGGCAAGCTGCAAAAAAATCTCTTGTATGAAAATGTCCCCAAAGCAGAGTGCTAGATTCTACACTTCAAGGAGATGCGGGCATTAAAAAGAAAACAAGTTCCTTATTTTGCCAGAGCTCACGTCCTCTGTTGGCAGTAATGTAAGTTTAATCATTAATGGAAATTAAACGTCTGTTCCATCATTCTTTCCCGATAGTTTATCCCAACCCATTTTCACTTTGCTGTCCAGCTACTTTATGTTCCTGTTTACGATGCCAGCCTTGACACAATTGTTTTGCTGCATACTCTGAGTCAGCCCAGCCGTGCGGTGAATACAGAGGGCAGCTGGCCAAATAGTGACTTAGTGTTGGTACAATTAAGCCAGTGATCTTGCTGTGTGGTGAGAAAAACCTTATCACATTACTGGATCTTGTAAGACACCCAGGCAACAAAAGGGGTGTAGCTGGAGTCTCTTTGCCACATGGCAAGATGTAGACCACTAGTTTAAAAATGGTTACACATCAGTGTTGATAAACAGGAATCTGTGCTTATTTACTGGCAATCAGCCCACATTTTACTGCTTCCATTTGGCTGAATCTGCCATTCGGAAGCACATCTCTTAATGTTAGCATAAATGTGTTTACCTGAATGTGCTTTAAATATGAAGGATGAAAGCACTTAACAGTGAATGCACGTAAAAGGAAAGTGGGGGCATAGCCACCTCCACCTCTGACCTTTGCAGGTTCCTTTGGCTTTACATGCAGCTGAAGCCTGAGGCTGTATGCACCCAACTTCCCCCAAAGAATATTGGGAACTGTAGTTTGTAAAGGGTGCTGGGAGTTGTAGCTCTGTGAGAGATAAAACTACAGTTCTTAGGATTCTTTAGGAAGAGCAGTGTGGCTTAAGTATGATGTGTATGCAGTCTGTGACAAAGCATGCTTCATGTAGTTTCTACATTTACACTTGGAAGTTATTCAGATGGTTGACTTGAGTGTACATCCCTTCCCCCCTTTTGAACCTTGTACATTAGTCCAGGCAAAATCCTGATGGTATCCTACTTATTCTTACACAATTATTGTTTATGTAAAAGACCGATGGTAAAATGAGCTCTGTGTGTGAGGCAGAGACTGCGTATGCACGCACTGTGTGTTCTGCATCTTGGGAAGGAAAGCACTGTGGATAATAAGAACATACCAAGAGCCCTGCTAGATCAAACCCAAAGGCCCATCCAACATCCTGTTTCCCACAGGGATCAAGCAGATGCTTTTTGGGAAACCCAGAATCAGGACAGGAAGGCTCTACTCCATCTCTGTGGTTTCCCCCACAACTACTACTTTTCTCTGAATTGGAGGGATGCCCCAGTTACTCCTGCGTCCCTTGGAGGGTCTTTTGTTTTCCCAAAGACTAATTTCAATAAAAGAGAGTCCCCGGGACTTGCCCCGGGCAGACGCCTCTCCTTTGACACCCACCATTCGTCTGTCGTGATTTCAACCCAACAAATGAATGGGAAATCTCTTCAAATACACATGGAAGGTTACTGATACTGTAATCAGCGTAACTCTGCAAACCATCACACAAGGAAGAAAAGCCAAGTTTAAGGCTATGTAACATCCCATACATTTACAGCGCACACCCCTGACAATTCTGGGAACTGTAATTGGTTAAGAGTGCTGGGAATTGTAGCTCTGTGAGGTGTGTACTGCAGTTCCCAGGACCCTGTGTGGTTTAAATGTATGGGGTGGATGCAGCCAAGAAGGGAATGTGCAAAGAGAAGAAAAAACATACATCTTGGCTCCATATCACAAAAGCAAACGAATGTTCAGATTATCTAAGCAGAGCATTGGTACTGACAGGATTAAAGGAAAGACTAACGAAGCTGTTTTGAAATAAAAGAGCCCACATTTTGAACAAATGCAGGCAGCATGTTGTGATTATGAATGATCTGCTGTTTGTAGCATGGAGTGGCCGGTGGTTGCACAGATGTTTAAGACATGGGTGGAAAGAAGGGGGCCACCAATGTGAGGATGAACATTTGGATTTAGCTGCAAGCATTGCTCAGTGTCAGAATGACCTAGCAGTTTGGGGCAATCCTTTCATATTCCTTTCAGGTACCATCACACCATACTACTAAAGACCTGGCTTTGTTGACTTAGCCTAGGAAGTCTGAAAGGCTGTATTCAGCAGCCACAGAGTGATGAGTGGTTTCCTCCACACTGGCTCTACATTCTGTTTCCTTCACTCCTAGCTGGGCAGAGAAGCTATAGCCAGAGAGAGAGAAGGAAGTGGCCCGTTTATGAAGTCGAAATCAGTCTCTACCATATGTGTTGCAGTTGTGCAGAGTAGTTAACTCAAACATGAAGGATAGGCTGAATGTGTGAAAGATGTCAGAGGAAGGATGCTTCTGATTACAGTTGCTGGAAACCGCTGGAAGCTAGAGGGCTGTTGCTTTCAAGTCCTATTTGCAGGCTTCCCAAGGGCACCTGGTTGGCCACTGTGAGAACAGGATCCTGGACTTGCCTGTGCTCATGCTCTTAGGTGAACCATAACCTAGGGATTCATAGAGACCAAAAGCCAAACATGTGAATTTCTTGCATTGGCTTGGGTTAGACTAGGAGAGCTCTGAGGTCCCATATAGCTCTGTGATTCCACTAAGTTTGGGGTAATGTATTCTTTGTCCAAAGTACACTATAATTTTAATCACTAGGAACAATGTACCTGGGGTATCGGCAGAGGCTTCATCAAGTTTCTATCCCGCATCATTTTTTTAAAAAAGTGAGTTATTCTGTAGGACCCTGCAATCCTGTGTACTTAATGCAGCTTATGGGTCACAGCTGGGCCCAGCAGCTGGACTGGCTCTGGTGAATGGTTTGGATTATTTAAATTCTTGAACACAGAGAGGAAGCAGTAAGCTCTGGAAGTGTAGTTTATTAAGGGTGTTGAGAGTTGTTAGGAAAGCCTTATTCCCCTCACAAAGGTACAGTTGCCAGAGTTTCCTGTGACGAGAGATTTGATTGTTAAACCGCTCTAGAAAGTGCTGCTCTGCAAGGGAAATAAGTTCTCTGAATCTTAATAAACTACAACTCCCATAATTCTTTGGAGGAAGAGCTATGACTGTTTCAAGTGGTATCGTGGTGCTTTAAATGTTATGGTGTGGTTGTGGTCTACCCCAACAAGAAGCCTGTTCTTTTTGAGAAACAAGAGGAATGCTGGAAAGTTGGGCTCCAACCCACTGTTTCTTGTATAAGTCTTAAGGAAAGAAACACAGAGCAGTGCTAGTGCTGGTGCACAGCTCCCATTTATCCCAGAATGGCTCGTGCTGTAAAGGTTTTCAGTGCAAGTGCCCTTTGTTCCTTAAGCCAAGTTAGCTGCAAGCCATTATGTATGAAACATTGCCCTAATGGTGCCACCCAGAAATGTAAGAGGAACACCAAAGGGACTTGTGAAGAACCTTTTCTGGACGATCGGGGCTGAATATTAGTTAGATTAATTGCTTACTGAATTATTTAAAACAGGAAGCCACCAATAATAGCATTATTTATATGGCAAGTGGAACACGGGCCCATAAACCAAAGCTCAAAGGGGGCAGAGTCCATAGAAGAACAAAGCAAGAGGGAAGTTGCTTAGCAGCTGTGTTTGTAGTTCAAAGATATTGACCATCACAGGCTTACGAAGCCTTTGGGCAATGAACTGGAGACTGCAGCATGCCGCTTGCTGCAGGCTTCCTGAAAACACTTGATCCTCTCTGATTTATATTGAATGAAAAGGATTTAAGAACTGGCAGCGCCAAAATGGATTTTGTCTTCTATATGCATCACCAATTATGCTGAGCACTGAAAGGAGGTAGTTGGGAGGAAAGATTTTCCTTTGCCAATATGGACCTTGTAACCAGTGTAGTTTAGTGGGAAGAGTATTGGACTAGGGCTTGGGAGACCAGGGTTCAAATCCCTACTCAGCCATGAAACTCAGTGTATGACTTTGGGCCAATCACTGCCTCTCAGCCTAACCAATATTACATGGTTCAAGTGCAGACCTGGTAATGCGTTGTCCTAGGCAAGGCCAAACTTTGACACACACACCCCCAGCCCTCGTGCTGCCTTCCCAAAGCTGGCAAAGCAAGATACTGGGCTTTGAGAAGGAGGTGCGAAGCTCTGGCAGGGTCCTAGAGCTATCCCATCTCATGCCCAAAGCCTGGTAAACACTTGCCCAGCTTTGGGAAACAGGAGGAGGACTCTAGGACCCTGTTAGAGTCCTCATGCCTCGGGCAAGTGGTTACTGGACTTTGGGAAGGCACCCTCCTTGGCTGCACACTCAGTGCCCCCACACTGCTTGCAGTGCCCTGAATCTGCCTCTACAGGGCTGTTGTGAAGATTAAATGAGAAAAGGAAGAACCATGTACACCACCTTGGACAAAAGGTGGAATGTAAATGCAACAAAATAAGGGACGCAGGTGGCGCTGTGGGTTAAACCACAGAGCCTAGGACTTGCCGATCAGAAGGTCAGCAGTTCGAATCCCTGCGACGGGGTGAGCTCCCGTTGCTTGGTCCCTGCTCCTAGCAGTTCGAAAGCATGTCAAAGTGCAAGTAGATAAATAGGTACCACTCCAGCAGGAAGGTAAACGGCGTTTCCGTGCACTGCTCTGGTTTGCCAGAAGTGGCTTAGTCATGCTGGCCAATTGACCCGGAAGCTGTACGCTGGCTCCCCGGCCAATAAAGCGCAGCCTCAGATTCGGCCACGACTGGACCTAATGGTCAAGAGTCCCTTTACCTTTAAATGCAACAAATAAATAAAACCACATGTTTTCTGACCATTTTGTTCCTAATACAGACTGAGCTCCATATCTAGTTATTCCACTTTCTTTAGTCAAACTTTAGTCCTATGGATGTTGCAGGACTCCAGCTCAGCCAGCATGACAGATGATGGGAGCTGTAACCCAACCAAATCTGGAGGGCCTCAAGTTCCCATCTCATACCCTGCAACACGATGCAGCCCATTCTTCAGGATAGGACTGCTTACACTATCAGACAACTTGTTGATATTCATCCTGATTTGCTTGCACAAAACTTAGGCGGATCAGCTTCACATAATAATTTAAATGGCAAAATGTGTCTTACAGGAGAGAGGAAAACTGCAACCAAACACTTACTTTAGAAACTGAGTTGGCAGCAGTGCAGGCACCAAAAACACTTCTGAGGAGAAATGTAGAAAAATGCTTCCTCTGTAATGGCTGTAATGCTTGCGATGCCTCTAAATCACTGCAAAACCTAAATGGAAAACAAAAATAAAGTTTTAAAAGAAAGCTTCTAGAGAGATATGAGGACAGCAAAGAAGCAGCCATCGCAAGGAAGTCCACAAAGCAGGAAATAAGGAAATATAAAGGTAGGACACAGTATGGGAAGAGCACTACAGTCTATAAGGGACTTGATGAATGTCTGGAAACTTCTATTGGGTTAGAGTGGAGCAGCCAAGCTTGTTTCTGGGGTTAGCAAGACTGACCAAATTAAGCCAATGTCATGTCATATTCATTGTATTTCAATTTGTTTCCAAACGCAATGCAAGGAGTTAGCATGGACCTTTCAGGCACCCAACTGGACCAATATATCTCAGGATTCTCCTTTCTGAACCTGCCTGAGATCTGGGGTTCTGAAGCAATCCTTGTCCCTTTGCCAAGAGGAGTGCAGTTGGTGCAAACAGGAGAGAGGGCCTTTCCAGTTGTGGCACCTAAACTATGGGATAGTTTTCAAAGAGGGATTTGTTTGGTCCTTTCCTCTGTATCTAGTTTTAAAATAGGCTCTTAATAATGGCTCATCCCAGGATGAAATATTTAGTAGATCCTTTGGCATGAGCCCATATGGTGTCCTGGGAGAAAGCATTCTCTGTGACAGTCCCCAAAGTGAGCCCAAATGGGAATTCCCTCACCACAGACGTGGGTCTAGCATCTTCATTGTATAGCAAGGATTATATCTGGGAATGGGAATGGGAATCTTTGCTGGAGGCTAATTAATTAAAAAGAGAGAGAAGAGCGGAAATGTTAGTATGTTTTAAATCTAATTCTAATCATAATTCCTTCTTACGTTTTGTTCTTTCCCACATCACTTAAAGTCCTATAGACTTCATAGATGGGGTGCTGTGGAATGAGACAGAACTTGGTTCAGATGCCAGTGAAAATCAGAGCTGGAGTAGTGCTGCTCGCTATGCTTTGCTGAGTTGCTATAGCTGTGGACAGAAAGCAGCTTGTGGTGGTTCTCTGGCCCCAAGGCATGAAGGCAGGTTGTTCATTCCCCTAGTTCCCCGTGGAGGAATTTCCAGATCAAAGCGCATGTGGTAGACTCTGAAAAGATGCGATGGAGTGAGTCTGAGACTCGAGTGCAGCCTTCTCTGACCTGGTGGCCCGTGATCTGCCGTTCTCTACCTTGGGTCCCTAGATGTTGTTGGACTACAACTCACATCATCTCTGATCACTGGGCCTGCTAGCTAGAGATGGTGGGAGTTGTAGTCCAACAAAATCTGGGGACCCAAGGTTGAAAAATCCTGAGCAGATGTTTTGGACTGTGTGACTTTCAGAGTGTTAGATCAGGAAAAATATGTGCTTCCTGTGACACTACTCTTATCAGATTGATTTTATTGTTTTTATTTTGTAAATGGCCAATAGGCTGATAAATCAATCAATAGCTAGGATGCATGGTGACTGGAGCTGGGGCTGTTTGGTCACAGCTACTAGAATCAGGGAGATATAGGGTTGGATATGAAAGCTGAGGCTGGCCAGACTGACAATCCTGAGTACCCACGGCTGTAGGCAATTAGCTAAAATCAGGCCAACACTACAGCTGGCATTTGACAAGCAGCATGCTAAACATTAGTACGCCAATGGGTCACTTCAGCTTTTGTAGTAAGCATTGCAAGAGTGGTTGCAATTATACATGGTCATGCTTTCCAGCTGGAGCTGGGCTGGTGAGTGCAGTCAGAAAAACAAAAGTCGTGGCAGGTGACCTGATCTATGCAATGACTAGATGCAGATAGCTTTTTGAATATATTGCCAACAAGATTAGCATTAAATCCTCCACTATATGTCAGCCACAAATCTTTTTTTGATGATCCCAGTTAACATACCACCTTTCTGGATCATATATTGTATCATGGTTCTCCAGTTTCATCAGAGATCTCAGTGAAATTGTGCACCTTTTCCCCATCATTCCTCCCTTTTTTGTCATCAAGAACTTGCTTTCAGATTTGATTTGCACCCTTTTGCAAAGCTCTTACTGCAACTGTCTTTTGATGCTGAAGATTTAAAGGACTGCACAAATTGTTTTGATTAGCTTCCTGCACTAAATACTGCATGTCGGGACTGTGGACAAGAGATTCACCAGAAACAACAAGCTGAAAAAGCATTTACTACACTGGAAATGACAAACTGAAGGAGCAACACTGGCTGTTTCTCTTCTGGCTATCAAACAAATCTGAAGTGGTAGGAAATTAGTGACTCTGTGAAGTGGCATCTTGTCACCTGCCAGTAAGTATTAGAAATGTAGAAGGAAGTGTTTGTCAATAATAAACAAAACGGCATTAAACTCTCCAGTGGTGGTTGCCACATGGTAGAGTTTCAGGTGGTTTTACTAGATTATCTGGGGGAAGCAAGGCCTACTGATTTGGGAAGAAGGGAGGAAAGAAAGTTATCTGCAAGTAAAAAGGAAATGCAGACAAAGTATGAAAGCTCTGGAGTAAAGCTCATGTTTTGCATGAATACTGTCCTGGGTGCAGACTCTGGCATCTCCAGATAAAAGGATCAGGTAGCAGGGAAAGACTTTTGTCAGAAACCCTGCAGGACAGATTGCGGTTGAATCCTGACAAGACAGAAGTACTGTTTTGGGGGGACAGGGGCGGGTGGTTGTGGGGGACTCCCTGGTCTTGAATGGGGTAACTGTGCCCCTGAAGGACCAGGTGCGCAGCCTTGGAGTCATCTTGGACTCACAGCTGTCCATGGAGGCACAGGTTAATTCTGCGTCCAGGGCAGCTGTCCACCAGCTCCATCTGGTACACAGGCTGAAACCCTACCTGCCCGTGGACTGTCTTGCCAGAGTGGTGCATGCTCTAGTTATCTCTTGCTGGGACTATTGCAATGCACTCTATGTGGGGCTACCTTGAAGGTGACCCAGAAACTGTGATTAATCCAGAATGCGACAGCTAGACTGGGGACTGGGAGTGGCCACCAAGACCACATAACACCAGCCCTGAGAGATCTGCATTGGCTCCCAGTACATTTCCAAGCACAATTCAAAGTGTTGGTGCTTACCTTTAAAGCCCTAAACAACCTCGGTCCTGTATACCTGAAGGAGCGTCTCCACCCCCATCGTTCAGCCCAGATACTGAGATCCAGTGCCAAGGGCCTTCTGGCGATTCCCTCATTGCGAGAAGTGAGGTTACAGGAAACCAGACAGAGGGCCTTCTTGGTAGTGGTGCAGCCCTGTGGAATGCACTCCCATCAGATGTCAAGGAACTAAGCAGCTATCCTATTTTTAAAAGGCATCTGAAGGCAGCCCTGTTTCAGGAAGTTTTTAATATTTAATGCTGTATTGTTTTTAACTCGATTGGGAGCTGCCCAGAGTGACTGGGGAAACTCAGCCAGATGGGCGGGGTATAAATTATTATTATTATTATTATTATTATTATTATTATTATTATTATTCCAGACATGCATGATTTAGTAGAACCACATCATTGCTGTTCTGCTTTAACCTGAAAGCACCTCATGCTTTCAGACTTCTAACCCTCAGTATCTACATGGGCAGTCTCCCTTTCCTCAGCTTCAAATATTTGGGAGGAGGACAGTATTCATTGGGGCCATTGCATGCAGGGAAAAGGGCTAAATACTCTGTTGTACTCCCAATCACGAACTCCCCCTGCTGCATTGGGGGCGGGGGCGGCGGACAGATATAAAAGCACACTATTTGGAAAGGAAAGGGCTAAAGTAACAAGGCTGAAAGCTAGAGTGGAGAGACAGACCACAGAGAGGGAAAAGGCTAGAGCAGTCTAAGAAACAGCCATCTGTACAGGACATAAGCAGCCAGAATAGCAGCACAATTCCACCGAATTTCTAAAAGTCAGATTTTCTGAGCTTTGAAAAAAAGCTGGCAGATGGCTTGTTCATGACACCATAAAGTTGCTTCGTAAAAAGTGGGCAAACCAAAGCAGGCGTTGCTATTCCACAGTAAATGGCTGGGTGGAAGTAGCCTCAGAGAAGATGGTACTGAGCTAGATTGGCAATTAAACCTGCTGTGGCAGCTTCCTAGGCTAGAACAATGCACACCTGATCCAGAGCTTTCTGTGTGTGCCCTGATGCGCATACAGGATGTGCCCAGTCCAAGGGAGCATGCCTAATTGAGCTGAATGGGGAATCGTCTTTGAGCATACCCAGAGCAGCCTCCTCCGTTCCAGTGAATGTGAATCCCTTGCTGGTGAATGGGCCCTCTGTGCTCACTCAAGCTCTCACAACAAAAAAGGGATTCACTAGATCACAGAATCATGACCCACTGATTGCGAAGAAGTAGTGCTGGGGAAATTTAAGTTGATCGTGTGCCAATTTCTCCGATGCAAGGAAGCCTCCTAGGGACTACTGGGCAGCCATATGGAATGAATACGGTTTACATAGAAATCAGACAGAGAGGCTGGGAATAAAGGATATAGCTTGGAACTGGCTGTGCTGAGTGCTGGAAGGAAGTAGCTTGCTCTGTTCAGAGTCCCATGCTTGGCAGAAGCAGCCTGCAATGTTCTAAGTTCATTGGACTTTGGGGCCTTGATTTTTGCCTGGGGACTAGCAATGCCTTTGTTTGCTGTTCCCCCCTACCGTTCATTCTCAACATGGGTGGAGTTTTTTTGTATAAGCAGATTTTTAACTAGGTCGCCTGGGCCACTATTACTTTTCCCTCTGTAGGAAACCAACTTTCAGAGGTTTATCCAGATCAGGTAAGCAGGAGCAAAAACAAACTTGGTAAAGAAGCAGACATAATAGTTGTACCACCAAAGGACAAAAATGAAAGATGCAAACAAGCACTGGCACTAACAGAGAAGTTGCTCTTCCATAATAGAGAAACCTCATGACAAGGGGAACTAAATGCGCATGTGCAATAAATGCGTGTATATTCAAGAGAAGGAGAGGGCAACCTTATAATAGCCTTTGCCAACCCAAACCCTTCAGATAGTTTGGACTACAGCTTCCATCAGCTCCAGTCAGCATGGTTAGAGGGGACTAGGTTGGTTGGCAAAGTCCCATCTGCGCTATACATTTGAAGCAGAATCATGCCAGTATAAATCATGCTAGGATTCTTCTCCCAAAGAATCCTGGGACTTGTAGTTTGCTAAGGGCACTACTGAGAGGTGTTAGGAAACCCCTATTCCCATCCCAGAGCTACAGTTCCCAGAGTTCTCTGGTAAGAGGTATTGGTTGCTGGGAATTGTGGCTTTGTGAGAGGAATAGGGTTCTCCTAACACCCTCTTAGCAAACTGCAGTTCCCAGGATTATTTGGAGGAAGCCTTGACTGTTTAAAGTGTCAATGTGTTGAGTTCTTGTACAGTATAGCCAAAAATCAGCTGAATTGCTTCCAAAATGGTCTTCCAATATTTTGTGCAGCTCCACCATAAATGAAGAAAACCAGCTCTAATAGCCTGACATTTCCAAGAATGGAAAATACTGGTATGGTAAACCCTACAGAGGTTTTACAGGGGTAAAATATCTGCTTACAATATTTTACATATCAGGCTCATTTCGACCTTAAACTAAGTGACAGTCAGTGATACACAATATATATCAGGGGAAGCCATTGTGGCGACTTTCAGATGCTGTGAATTTCATCTCACACTGACTCCAACTAGCAAGGCCAGCGATGATGGTAGTTCTACTCTAACAACATCTGGAGGGTATAATATTGGCCATCCCTGGTATAGACAGAGACCTATGTTTGGTCAGGATTATCAAACCATAGATAAAGCCATCAGAATGTTATTGATTTGTTGAAAGCAAACCTTTAATTCCTGACCGCATCACCATTAAATTTTTACAAGACTACTCTTATCTGTGAACAAAAATTCCATCCTGCATTAAGTCAGTTTGGGACAAAAGCATTTTAAAAAACCCAAGGTTCAACGGACTCTGTGTGCTAGTGGAAGCCTACAGGGCGCCCCACCCACATCTTCTACTCAGCACACCCCCTGTAGCTCCCCAAAACCACTATGGAGGGTCAGTTTAGTGCATTTCCAGTCAGATTCCCAATAGGGATTATTTCCAAAATCATCAGCAGCCATAAACATCAGGACAAGTATAGGTTCTCAGCAGCTAATAAAAATTCCCATATACTGAGACATCAACACTCCAGTAGCCACACACTAATCCTCCAGAGCAACAGTTTTTCCATACAATCTACTGCAGATATTTGTGAGAGAAGAGGTCACATACATCCCACGATCCATCACTGTTTATGCTCCATGCCCTGGTTTTATTATGCGAAATCTTGACCTTCATTGAAGAGGTGAAGCATAGGAAGCTGACTGTCCTAATACCAATTCACAGCATGGCCCATGTAGCACAGTATTATCTATACAATGTTCACAGTGAGTCCCCAGGGCTGCGGACAAAGGTTTTTTCCAGCCCTACCTGGATATGCCAGGGACTGAACATGGATCTTTTTGCATGAAAATAATTTGCACTACAACTGAGCTGTAGCCCTTCCCTGGGTAAGAGCTAGGGCACACTTGGATCTTCATGCCATACCTTTTCTGGGCTACATTGATCTAGTTTTGGGGGTGGCAAGATTGTTCAAGCACTGAGGTCCACAGTGGAAACATGAGCAAGGCAGATGCTACTAGGATTATGTGCAAAGGAAAACAAGGCAAGCCAGCTTTTAAAAAGGAACTAATTTCTGTGCATGCCATTTTTATCACTCTTGCATGATGCTCTATACTTGACAGACAAAAAACACTGTTCCGTGCCCGTATTAAAGCCAAAGGATCCCTTCCTGAGCTAAAGTAAGATGTTAACAGCATGGAAAACTGCCCTTTATGAGACCCCCTAAGAAAGCATGTCCTTGAGTTCATTCATCCTATTGTGGAATGGCTGTAGACTCTGAGATCAGTTTGTACTGTACCTACAAAAAAAGCACAAATTCTTTTGCTTTATAGCTAAAGGCAAAAGGCTCCTCAGTTCCGACATTTACTATTAAAACTAGAACATGTTTCTATAAAAAATGTAAACCCTGGCCCCAGAGACTTATAAATTAAACTATAAAAAAGAAATATTTTGATTTATTTATTACTGTGTCCTCTTTTTAACTGTGCAAAGCAATTCATTCTAGTACCCCACCCTCAGAGATGAAATCTGCCTTCTTTTACTTTGCTTTTACACATCACATTAAGCCACAGTCAATAGCTTACTGTGAACATATATGTACATATCTCTCAATTTGCTTCTTCCCACTAGTAGACAGAAACAACAAATCATGTTTCTTGGCATGGCATTCTGCCCCAATCTGGAATTATGGTTTGTTTCACTCAAACAAACCATGATTTGTAAGTCAAGAACAAGCATTGACTTGCTGATCATGGTTTGTAGTACAACAAATCATGGATGAAGCTTGAATGGAGCTTGTCCCTGTTTGCAATTTTTACAGATTCTTCTGCTTCCTGAGCAAATTTTATTGCCTTCTCCTTTTCAATTTCCATATTTTTTTTTCCAAAAAAGACCATCTTATCTTCTTTACCCAAAAGTTTAACATTTCATTCCTTTTCTAATGCCCTTGCAGCAAAACCCAAGGATCACTGTTGCTTCCATTTACTAGCAAGGAGGAATACTCTGCATTTTCCTGATCAGCCACTAGCCATGGCTTACTGTGACATGCAAATGCAGCCTTTGAGGTAAATGATCCAGCAGCCAATGACAGGGCCCCACTAGTAGAAACCATTAGTGGAAACCACCTATCACTGCTGCAGAATGATTGAGAAAACCCTACCCTTACTGGTACCACAGGGGGGTGGCAATGGAGGCAGGGGGCTCTTTGGTTAGTACCATGCAAGTCAGCAGTTCCTGGCTGCCTGCCTTTGTTGAAGTTAGTAGGCCATGTCAGTGCCAGGGAAAGCTAGCCAAACAGTCCTTCCAGCAGTGACGTCCGAGGCACCCTTGTGCCACTTGATCAACTGCTGCTTGATCATTCTGGTGTGTTATTATAGCTAAGCTCATCCTACTGTGTACAATATAGAGTACCACCTTGCTTACAAAGATTTTGATTGCTCAGGGAAAGTGCCTCTGATTAATTGGAGCAATTCAACTTAATTAAACAGCTGACTTCTTGCAGTCCTTTGCTCTCCAACCCTGCCTGGCTAGCTAACTTCACAGCTTGTGAAATGAACTTCGTGAAAATGAAATGTAGCAGATGCAAGGTTGGACCTCAACCGTGAGACATACTTTACAACTGGCTGGCTGTGATTCTGGCAACTGGCAAAGTTCCTTCCGATACAGCTTGTTAGACTCAAGTGCCCCATGATTATTATGCACTGAGAGTAGGCCTCTCTCTGCTGAGTTGTCAGGAGATCATCACCACAAACTAGTGGCATAAATTCTTCTCAGGGCTCTGTGATAAGAACGAGAGAAGAATATCACTCCCAGCCCCAGTTGACTTGAGGGCTAAACCTAACATTGGAAGATGGCCTCCGTGCTGTTCACTCTATATTTCAAAGCTCTATGACCCAGGGCAACCATTCTTAACACTGAACATACCACCATAGACTAAAGTGTTTGTTTGTGTAATGAAATACAAAGATTTCAGCAGGGGTTTAAGGATCCTCCTTGTTTCTTGGGAAATGATGAGTTTTTAAAAAGTGAAGACATTTCCCTTATATTTTATTTTTTTTAAAAAAGCACTGGATTAAAATAAAATAAAAAGCACATTAGATTATTTAATGTAAACAGTGAGAAAACCAGACACCTTGTCCAAAAATAATAATAATATGTACAGTGTGCTTGGTTTATTTTAAAGTAACAAAAATAAGTTGAAAATGCACAGTGGTTTATACAAGCTAAATTATGACATAAAACAGATTATAATTTGTGCCAAAAGAAGAACATGCAGACCATTCTGTAATTAAAAGCAGAGGGCTGAGCCTGTTACGAGCTATATGGATTGTAGAAAGTCATGAAAAAGAAGAATGCTTGCTATGTTTTTTATGTCAAAGTCAGGGCATTATGATTACACACAATCATATTGCATTAAAAAGATATGGTTTAAGTTACATTATGAAGGAGAATTTGTACTCTGAAATGTCAGTACAAATAAAAGGAAACATTGTTCAGGTGGGCATTGCTCTTGAACATTCCTTAAAGCCTGCTGGTGATTGATCAGAAGCAGCAGTCATGTATCTTTCAGACTTAAGACTGTTTACTGTATATGTTTAATAATCAATGGGTGGTGGCTAAATTCTGCTTGGTTTGACTGCACACAGCCGAAGTTTAGTGTAGGGCTATTTGAAAGCCCTTTTATAAACATCTCTGTGCTGCTCTCTAAACCATGGGTTTTCAGAGGATTCAAAGAGCAGTGTGGGCCTCAAAACTGGAGGTTTAAAGACCAGTGTTGGGGTGTTTGCAAAAGGGCTTTCAAACAGCCCAACACTGCACTTTGTAGTCCAGACCATTGGTGCTTCAAAGCAAAATGTCAATTGGGAGAGATGGGGAGATAAGGATCTGTGCCAATTATTACATTTGCTATTTCCAAATTAATTGCAAAAAGGGGTTTTTAAGATGAAATCAGTTAATTTCCTTAGCCACTTCTGATCAAATTTTCCTCATAATATCTGAGTGAAATCAATTTGAACTAGTAGAGGGGGAAAATAGCTTTAAAAAGAGCTGTGGAGGAAGCAATAGATACATGCAAGAATTTTGCACCAGTCAGTACAGAATTTCTCTCAATACCTTATTCTAATGTGAAGACTCAATTGCACAGTCAGATTCTGAGTTCCATGTCCTGTTACATCTTAAAGAATCTAAATGTGGTGATTCATTATAATAACCTTAAGGAATTGTAGTCTTAGATAAGGTGCAGTCAGATGTACTCCATGACATGTGCAGAAGTTACAAAGGAACAGTAGTTTATGATGTATAAAACGGAATCACACCCCTAAAAGCTGCTGACAAAGAAGTCAGAGGGTGCAGCAGGAGACATTTGAGGGCCAATCTCCAAGTCAGAGTTTTGCCACTTTAAAGTCTTGGGGAGAGCTAGGGGAACCAGCAGGAGTTGCATCACTATTCAACTAGCTCAGAAAAATCAGGAAGCAACATTCATTGCTTCCTGGAATTTGCACTGGGAGCTGTCCCTGGTACTGCCCTGCATGACCTAGTATGGAACCTTGTACCCACAGGAGATCTGATGAAAGGTGTTCCCCTTTGACTTCAATGAAAAATGTTACTGTGACTTGATTGGAGAAGCGCACTCATGCAGTAGCTTGAGCATGTTTTCTCATGTGTGTGTTGGGCTAACTATGTAACTAGATCTGGGAGACATCCATCATCTATCCATCTACAGTGGTACCACGGGTTACAGATGCTTCAGGTTACAGATGCTTCAGGTTACAGACTCCCCTAACCCAGAAATAGTACCTTGGGTTAAGAACTTTGCTTCAGGATGAGAACAAATCGTGTGGCGGTGGCGCAGCGGCAGGTCCCATTAGCTAAAGTGGTACCTCAGGTTAAGAACAGTTTCAGGTTAAGAATGGACCTCCAGAACAAATTACGTTCTTAACCTGAGGTACCACTGTATCTATCTATCTACTTTATTTATTTCACTACTTTAATTATCTACTTTAACAAAGTCTTCAATTCATGCAGTGAACGGAAGTGAGTTCGCCTCAACTACTATGTTCAACAGTACTGGACAAATAAAAGAGAGGGAGAAGGGACTATTAGTCTATAAAGGCATCTTTCTTTTACAATATATCAGGGGTCAGCAAGGTTTACCTTGCCTGGGCCGGTTCACTCCAGGGGAGATCCCTCCATGGGCCAGATCGCTCACATGCATGAGCTCATGCGACCACAATTTCCGGCATCTGCATCTGCAAAGTTGCGATTTCTGGCACCACGGAAACAAGTACCCGTGCCGTGCTGCGCCACTTTAGCACAGCATGCAGGGACTCTCCGAGTGGGTGGCTTGATTTGGGGGCAGCTCGTGGGCTAGTTAAACGACTCCGTGGGCCACTTGTGGCCCATGGGCCTTAGGTTGCCTACCCCTGCGTCATATCCTTCAAATAACTTAGATCACGATGGCTAGTTCTGTAAGATTCGTGACAGTGGTCTATCCGTGGGGCATATGAAATTGCTACAGTTTTGTGAAGTAGAGTAGGAGGACTAGCAGATGGGACTAAACATTGACGAAGTGTGTCATCCTCATTTTCTTCCAGTGCTGGAGTCTGAAATGTGTCACAAAGTGGTTTGATGTAAGGCACATTTTCTACAACTTTAAGAACTCTTTTTATGCTGTGATCATTATGTGATTTACTATTGAAATCTGCTGTAAGGCAGGATGAAAAGATAATATGAGCCAAAGTTGCATAGCTGTAGGTAGGTAGGAAGATAGATGTTATTTAATATGGGTCCAGTCTCCTGCAGTAATTTATTGTACTTCCTTGAATATACCCAGAAACCTCTTAACCACCACTTGGTTGTGGCCAATGAATTCTGGGGTGTGCCCCCCCAAAAAACTGAGCAAATTGCTAAGCAATCTTTGAAAGTTGTCCCTCCCGCTAAATGAAGAGCAGTACGTTCCAAAAGCTGGGGGTGGTAGCACAAGTGAATTTCCAGTTACAAGCTCCCATTCTTCGGGGAACATCAACTGATTATTGGCAAGCAATCGATTTAGTAAAAGATGATAATCCAGCACCTATTATCAACGTGTTCCTGGAAAAATTCTGCGGGAAAGAGGAGCAATAATAAATGTACAAAGCTGCCTACTCTTATGGGGGTAAAATCATATTCCTTCCATGTTCCTTTTACCTTGCATCCCATGTTTCTTTCTTTGGCTCTCCAGTGCTGCTTCTTGGATGTTCTTCACAGTAGTTTGCATTTAAAACATTTACCCTGCCAACCTGCCCTGGAAGATCCCCTAGAGCAACTTTGGCTGCAATCCTATATACATTTTGGTGGAATGTAGGTAGTCCTACTGAACTAAATGAGTCTTACTTCTGAGTAGGCATGTTGCACTACACACACCTATTTGGGAGGGCAAAACTAATTCTGGGGTAAGCAAACTGGTATGATGCTCTTTGGTTCCCTTTCTGAACATAAATTCACATTCCTATTGAATTATCAACTTTGTGTGTTTTGTTTGGAACTATATAAATAGAGGATTTGAAAAAGAGAGAGAAAATCCAACCTATCTGCCAGCATCAGGAACATGGCCATCTGGTAAATACAGGAAAATTACACTGCCCACTTTTTTTACTCAATCTGTCATAACTTAAGTTATTAACTGATTGCTTTTTTCATACATTTCGCTAACTGAAACCCAGAACACTCCTTTGTTAAGAAGTGTATAAATACTTTTAAAGTTAGAAGTTGATAATAGACTCATTATCATACTTTAAAATGCTTCCTTTCTATAGTCTTAGGATCATAAAAAGCTGCCTTATGCAGAGTCACACCATCTACCTCAGTAATGTCTGAACCGACAGGCAGAAACATTCCAGGGTTTCAGGCTGAAGTATTTCCCAGTCTTACCTGGCGATGCTACGGATTGAACCTGAGACCTTCTGCATGCAAGGTAGACATTCTATCACAGAGCTGCAGTCTTTCACTAGTCTCAACGATGAATTTAATATGTTGAATTTGCAGACAAATTCAACAGGTATAGGGCAGGTTTTTTAAAAAAATTAAGTGGCTTGTTTTGCAATCTCCCCCCTCCCCCCCCCCAAAAAAAATTCCTTTCATGTGCTCCACAGGTAGAAATTCCTAGAACAACAGTGTAACACAGTATATAGACAAGTGATCATAAAGACAGAAGTATTTTTAAAAGAAAATATTTTTTTTCTCTTGTAGTAAGGCTGCAGTTCTTCTTTCAGCTAGACACCCAACCCAAGCTACACTGAATTCAGGCAAGATTGCAATCTAGAGATATTGATCAGCCATATCAGCTAATATTTCCTTCATCACAATGCACACCAGTGAATTTATGAAAAGTTAATGGTGCTTTTATTCAGCACTATGAGCTTTCGCTGTTGCCCTGCACAATTACTAATGGATTGCAAAGAAGTGTGAAATGGATATTGCCAGTGCTTTTCTTCCAGAAAGAAAGGTGCTGGTACTGCATACTCTTGAGTACCCTCATACCCCCATAAAAAAAGTACTGGACATGGCACACAAAATTACCACCTGTTTCATCAAAAACCTGCTTCACTACACAGATCTGCCTCAGGGGCCCTGCCTCAGAGTTGAGGTGGGTGGGCGGCAATCCAAAACAATGCTTTCTTGGTGGTGGCCCCAAACTTTGGAATGCACTCTCCGGCACCAACTTCAGTGAGGGGGGGGCAAATACCTTTTCCAATTTTACTCAGGCTTTTTATATTTTTGGTTCAATAAATCATTTTAACCTGACTATTTTTGTTTTGCTGGCAGTAGTTTGTGCTGTGCTTTATGTTGTTCTTATATAGACAGTATGGGTATTTTATGATTTTTATTTTTTAAATAAAAAGTACTTGTCAGCAGTTCTGAGAGACAGTCACTGGAAGTGGCAGGATACAAACCCATTCTACATATCAATAATGTTCCAATCTATTTTTTGTGATTTACGTAACACGGCTTCAAAGGCGCCTTCTGTTTCAACTTTTATGCGCCTGCTGAAAACTCTTTGATCCCTTCAGGCTTATACAGGTAATTAAGAACACAGTTTTCCATAATAGCTGATTTCAATTTTGTATATGGCTTTTATTGTATGGCTGTATGTATAAATGTTTTTACACCCACCCACCCACCCACACAAAGAGCGAGAGAGAGAGATATTTTGGTTCTTGAAAGGCTTAGTTGTCAAACAAATAGGCTCCTGAACGCCACAAACCCAGAAGTCAAACATTTAAGACATTTGACAAAATGCAACATTGTCGGCTAATTAAAGCAATCAAAATGTACAACTCATGAGGTATGTATAACTCTTTTTTTAAACAACCTGAAAACTCAAAACTTCAGGGTATCCATCATTATCACCTCTACTTGCCTGATGACATGAGAACACCAAAGACAGTTCTTTTGAATGTTAGCAGCTGACTAGATAGGAGCAACTCCAGAAAGAAATCACTTGAGAAAGCAAGAGGGTGGAGTCTAGAACTGTTTAGAATGTAGTAGAATTTCTTAAACTCTCTCACACACACCTTGAGCCAAGTGAAAACTGAGACTCCGCTCTATATCCCAAAAGCTGCACTTATTTTCCTTGCCCAGGACAGCACAACAGATACCTCTTTCCCACATCTTTTGAGCCTGGTTCCCTCATGTTCTTAGAATGAATTAGCCCCTTGTTTCAGGGCGTCTATGAGTCTACATGGTATGCTCATTCTTCCATCAATACACTTGCCCTCAGACAATATGAAGCCTTTATCTTTAATCCAAATACACCATTTATCTTAATTTACTTTGGTTAATTCTATAAACAGAACAGAATAATTTTGGAATTCCTGCCATCATAGACTGGTTAGTCTCTTAAGGGGCCTCAGCATAAGAGCCAAACTATTTACATAGGAGATCCTTAAAGGCCTGTCTCTACATGTGTCTGTTGTTGTGCTAAAATCTTCATCTGTGGCCCTCTTCCAGGATCCACTGACACCAGAGCTTTGGCATGTGGTTGCAGGGAAGCGGATTTCTCAGTTTTGGCAAATTTTTTGTATGCTTTTTACTTGTTTTATTGTGTTTTGAAATTTTGTAAGCTGCTCTGGGAATTCCATTCGCCTGCCCCCAGTGATGGGGTATAATCAACCCCTAAAAATTAATGAAACTAATACAATATTACATCTTCTGAAATATATTTCTCCTCTCAAAATGATACCCCCCCCTGTGCAAATTATTCACTGTTGTGACTATTTCCTTCCTGAAATTATTAATCAAGGAGAAGAATGCATATAGACACAATATGAGGGCCTGTATCAAGGGTTAGGAATCTCTTTCAGCCTGAGGGCAACATTCACTTCTGGACAGTCTTGAAGAGGTCACATGCCAGTGGCAACAGTGGGCAGGGCAATGAATGTGAAATTTACCTTTGCACAGTAGACTAACTTTACATGTACCCACACACCCATGTCTATCCTCTATCTAGGCATGTAGGAAGCATTATCAGTGTGCAAATACACATTCCAGCCAGGCAAAATAAACTTCCAAGGAGGGCGTGAAACAGAGCTGGTGAGTGTTGTGGCCTCGGAAGAGGGGATGAGGCTGGGGAAGGGAGAAAGTCCCAGGCAAAGAGGGCTAGAGGAGGCTGTGGAAGGCCAATTTGCAGCAAGGAGTAGGAGTCAGTGGCACAGTTTGGCAATGAGTGGTTTGAAGAGAAGGATAATTGTAATCTACTTAACTCACTGTACATGTATCATTGTCTCCTGGGATGCAGAAGTTAAAGTCACCAATGGCAGAATTTTGGTGTCATTAACCAGAGTGGAAGATACACAAAGATGACCCAGGACACAATGAAGTGAAGTTTACATGCAGAAACCCCATTAAAATGAATGGGTGCTGCACAGGAATGCCTGGACAAGCCCAGTTGTTGTTCCAAAACCCAATTCAATCAAGATTGAAAAGTCCCACACATACAGTTTGACAAGGATTAATTCTTCCAGTGAAATTGTTCATTACCTGAGCTGACCAACTTGCTACTGAATGGCCACACAGGAGTTAATCATTGCTAATATATCCTATTGTTCATGAGCTATAGCAATGCCAGCTGCAACAAATTATTATAAATAAAAGAAGACAGAAGTTGAAGTCTGTGATTAATAGTTCAGTGAATATATAATAGTGAGTAAGTATATCCACAAGGTATTATTTCATCACTACATTCTTAGTCTGGGATACTGAAATAATGGCACACATATAAAAGCTAAATACCACCCTTTACTGATGTCCCAAATCTCAGTAGCATTACTTAATTAAATTATTCAGATGTATGGCAAAAAAGCCAAAAACTTCCATCACTGCTTTATATACTCTTCACAATGACTGTGGGTGCCAAGATCTTGGTCCTGAAGTTCATCTTCTTACCATCTGCAAAATAAATGCTCCTATTATGCACACATTGAGATGTGCTTTAATGCTTTACAGCTGTTATAAATCTAATAGCTCCAGTCTAAATGGAGCTATTTTTCTCTTGTTTATAACCTATCAACAAAATATGTTCTCATGTAGTTTCAAAGAAACAATGACATTAAACAAGGAGAACTAACAACCTTGCATTTTTACAGCCTTCTAAGTGAATGTTTTCTTAGCAGGAGAAGATTTGTTATGTTTATCAGGCTGAGTCGGAGCCCATTTAATCATAAAAAGGTGTGGCCAACAAAGAAATCTACCTTACTTCCTTCTTGTGCAGTGTACATTAATAGCAACATCCAGTTGGACAGAACTCACTACCATTCCCTGTTACAGATTCTGCACATATATATAAATGTCACTATGGCAAGTTCTTAAAGAAATGGGAGTGCCTGATCACCTCATCTGTCTCCTGAGAAATCTCTATGTGGGACAAGAAGCTACAGTTAGAACTGGATATGGAACAACTGACTGGTTCAAAATTGGGAAAGGAGTACGGCAAGGCTGTATATTGTCCCCCTGCTTATTTAACTTATATGCAGAATTCATCATGCGAAGGGCTGGGCTGGATGAATCCCAAGCCAGAATTAAGATTGCCGGAAGAAATATCAACAACCTCAGATAAGCAGATGACACAACCTTGATGGCAGAAGGTGAGGAAGAATTAAAGAACCTTTTAATGAGGGTGAAAGAGGAGAGTGCAAAATATGGTCTGAAGCTCAACATCAAAAAAATGAAGATCATGGCCACTGGGCCCATCACCTCCTGGCAAACAGAAGGGGAAGAAATGGAGGCAGTGAGAGATTTTACTTTCTTGGGCTCCATGATCACTGCAGATGGTGACAGCCATCACAAAATTAAAAGACGCCTGCTCCTTGGGAGAAAGGCGATGACAAACCTAGACAGCATCTTAAAAAGCAGAGACATCACCTTGCCAACAAAGGTCCGTATAGTTAAAACCATGGTTTTCCCAGTAGTGATGTATGGAAGTGAGAGCTGGACCATAAAGAAGGCTGATCGCCGAAGAATTGATGCTTTTGAATTATGCTGCAGGAGGAGACTCTTGAGAGTCCCATGGACTGCAAGAAGATCAAACCTATCCATTCTTAAGGAAATCAGCCCTGAGTGCTCACTGGAAGGAGGCTCCAATACTTTGGCCACCTCATGAGAAGAGAAGACTCCCTGGAAAAGACCCTAATGTTGGGAAAGATTGAGGGAACAAGGAGAAGGGGACGACAGAGGACGAGATGGTTGGACAGTGTTCTCGAAGCTACAAACATGAGTTTGACCAAACTGCGGGAGGCCGTGGAAGACAGGAGTGCCTGGCGTGCTCTGGTCCATGGGGTCACAAAGAGTCGGACACAACTAAATGACTAAACAACAACAATAAATGTCACATGATAAATCTAAGCCAACACCTAAAAATGTATTGTGTGATGATGGCAAACACGTTTGCAGGTATGTGCAGAAAGCAATGTTATTACCATCATGTGAAGGGGAGAGTGTGGGAGAGTTAACTGTCCTTTCTCCTTTCTGAATGTCCCCATTGCCATTCCTGCAGCAGCAGCATCCATGTTGGGGACTGAATATCTAAAGTGGGAAGCTTGCTGGACTTGAGTAGGCTCCTGTGCAATTATGGACCCTAAACTTCCAGGAGAGAACAAGTCATCAGGTCAACTTTATGCACTCACACTTCCGTGTGTGCAGTGCCTAGAAAGCATGGCTCAGAGCGGTTTCCCCTTGCCCCATTCCTTTTCAAGGGAAAACCCACTATTTAGTGATAGATCAGAAGAAACGGCAATCTGGAGGGAAACCTGAATTGTTGTTTGCTCCAACTGAGTGCTAAAGAGCAGTTTTCCCCAAGGGGGAAGCAGTGGGACAAGAGGAAGTGTGGATAAGCTCTTAGACATGTTAAAGCCAAAGGAAAAGTCACTAAGTAAAGAGAATAAGTGCCTAGAGATGTTGTAGAATCTTCATATTTGGAAGTGTTAAAAAAATCATGGATCAAATCTGTAATGTGGAGGAAATCCAGTCTGCATTTTATGTGTTCCAGTTCACCAGAGTCTGGAGGATTTCCAGTCCAGGCCTTGAGGCAGCTGAGAACATAAGATTTCTGTCAAGCTTTTCTCATGCCTAATGTGTGTTTGAGTTTGTTCTAAATAAAGTGTATTGGTTACTATCTGTCATGTGAAGAGTATATCTTACTGTTGAGGATCCTTCAAATATATGATCATTTGCTTTAGGGGAGAGGAATTTCTCTAGGTTAGACCTGCACTATGTGCACCCAACAAGCTGCACATAATACATCAGGTTATGCGCAGTAGACTATCAGACCATGCTTAATATAAAATAATGTCATTCATCTGGATCTCTAGGAATAATGCTGGGTAAAATTTAAACGAACAGATGGCAAATAAATAAATAAATAAATAAGAGAATTTATTTCAACCGAGAGTTGAGCTAGCAGTGAATTTAGCCCCATTTCATTGACATTTACTCACTATGCTCTTTAGAAAATAGGAATGCCTTAAAGGCCCTGTATACCTGAAGGAGCATCTCTGTCCCCATTGTTCAGTCCAGGTCTAGCTCCCAGGGCCTTCTGGTAGTTCCCTCATTGTGACAAGTAAAATTACAGGGAACCAGGCAGTAGACCTTCTTGGTAGTTGCACCCGCCCGATGGAACAACCTCCCATCAGATGTCAAAGAGATAAAAAATTTCACAACCTTCTGTAGACATCTGAAGGAAGCCCTGTATCAGGAAGTTTTTAATGTGTGGTATTTTATTCTGTTGTTCTGGTGGTGGTGTTTTTGTATACCCTGGTGGAAGCCACCCAGAGTGGCTGGAGCAACCCAGTCAGATGGGCGGGGTACAAAAAAATAAATTGTTGTTGTTGTTGTTGTTGTTGTTGTTGTTGTTGTTGTTAAGACTAAGGCTCCAGCTAGTCATCCAACATTTTTTTTCTGAGAGCAGGTAGCCACACACCCCTAAAAAGATCAGTGGGGAAAATGATATAGTCCTCTCTTGTTCTTTTGTCCCTAGCATTTTGTAATGAGGCACATAGTGCCACTAAAAATGAGGGTTCTCATTTAGATATAATGGTTGACAACTGCCGAAGTTCCTATTAATTTAGTCTTTGGTGTTGCACATTCAGTGTATCATAGCATCCTTCACTCCTCTTCCACATTCACATGGCTGGAGGAGGGATAATTAAAAGTGCCTTCACATCAATTGTCTTGTGATCTGAGCATAAGAGCATGTCATAACAGAGGAACTGAAGAGAACAGCTGTGCACCCTGCTTTCTGTACTCTTTCACTGCCTGTGTATGATAAGCAACATCTAAAAGAGCATTTGCATTAAGGCTGTAAGAGAAAATTGCATTAGCTGTTATTACTTTCATCTTTTTGTTCTTTCTACCAGGTACATTAGAAATAAGAAAGGGCTTCCTGTTCCTTTTATGCTTGCATAATCCTATTTCAGTGATATGGAGCTGAATAAAATATGATACCTTCATAAAACCAGATAAAGGCCAAATGCACAAGGCCAAGTGCAATCTTGACTGAATCTCACTGAATTTAAAAGACTATAACCTCCCTTGAAATCATCTCCCCTGCCTCTCTATCCAAAGACAGGAAATGCTCAGGCCAATGCCAAAAGCTATTTTATTATGCCAAAATGGCAAATTCCCCGTCTGGAACAAATGCATAAAGTTAATTATTTTATCCAAAGCAAGGCATCTCATTATTTTTAGTGGGACAAAAAGCATATTTTGAAAGAATAACATTGTTTCCCCAAGACACCTCTAAATGCTTAGTACAGTTTTCCCTGAGTCACTCACTTGTTTTCTAAGAACTGGTGTGGAGCCAGTTGAAATTGTCCCCATTTGAAATCTCAGCTCATGAATGTTCTTGCCAGATGGCCACAACTCAAAACAACCCACTGTCCCTCTGTCTCCCATCAGTAGAAGAGCAAGGATGGTAACGCAGGCCTAGCAAACAGGTCCATTGCACAGATCTCTAAGGCAATGTATGCATTGTGATTCAGTGCTCTTATTACTTGTACAAAGCATCGTGAATGTTTAAATGATGTCCACATTTGAGCATCATTTAACTATTAACCTGCTTCCACCTTGCCCCCATTCAAAGTAGACTGGAGCAGTCCACCCGTACATGTATTTGATTCTACATAGGTGATACAGCTTTGGTATTTCCCGTTCGTATCAGTAGACATCATTACTTTTGTGTTTGTCCCTGCTAGCTTTGGATAGATATGAATTAGAAAGAAAAGCCATCTTTAATTTTATTTTTTTCCATTCTGCATGACACACAACAGAAGAAGCAAGGATGTCTACATGGTTGTGTACCCTCCAATCTTGGTACCACCAATAAAGTGGAGAGGGTTTTCAGTCTGTTGTGATTAAAGATTTGTTGATCCATGAACCAATTAAGTTGATTAAAGCTCCAATCCAAAGGTCACTTCCTGATGAGCCAACCCATTGAATACAATGGGACTAGCTTCTGAGTAAACATGCACAGGATGACATATGTAGTTTGCAGTCTTTTGGGGGGGGATGGATGACACACTGTAAATATTTTAGCTAAACAGCTGCATTTTATCACAGATTTTCTACACAAAGACTCTTGTCTGAAATACTAAATCTGTAAGGTTTTTCCCACTCAGAGAGAATCTGTGGAAAGCCATCCATTATCCAGAAGCTTGCTTTTTTTAGTGCAAAAAGGGGGAGCGGGGAGATGCAGATGGCCAACTGTTTACATCTTCTCATCATTTGCAGAGGTTATTTAGCAGTCACTGCAAATGCCTTTCATACAGCTGCATTTATCTGTGCTTTGATTTTAACTTCAAATATAGAGAAAGCACAAAGAAAGTGTTAAATTATTTGGTCCAGACAGTCTTGTATTTCAGTACAAAATATTTTAATAAACAACCTTATTTAACAGTTAATTCTGTCTCCAGTGTAGGTGTCAATAGTGTACCTAAAACTGTCATACTACTAGGAGGTTTTAAAAGCAATCTATGAAAAAGGTTGGCAGCAGAGGCAGTTTTTGGATAAAACTAGACACTGAGCTGCTGGCGGCACCACAACAGTGCTGTAGATAGATAGATAAACTTTATTTGCCTTAGCCAACGGCCATAGCAACATAAAACAAGCAATATATACAATTAAAAAGACAACAATGAATAAAAAGGACAATCAAATGATCAAGATAGTGGCCCTTAATCTCATTGCACCCTCGATAAACCTAGCAACCTTTGCTGTTGTCTGATCACTTTGATCTGATAACAGAAAGAACAATATAACTGCAGATGGGTGGCCTGGGATGGTGAGTAGGAGTGGGGTGATGATCTCATTCCTCAGGTCTTTATAAAGGGGACAGGACAGGAGAACATGAGCCACTGTTTCCAGATTGCCATCTCCACAGGGGCAGTCGTTTCCCAGTTGGAATCTTTTGGCATCTGCCCTCAAGTACGGCAGAGGGCATCACATCCAATCTGGCCAGTGTGAAGGCATGTCTGTATTTTGGGATAGTTAATTTATACAAATATGGTGCCAGGAAATCAAACTGGGGTGGGGGATGCATACCAAGAACAGAGTTTCTTTATAATGGCCAGATTGTTCTGTTGCTCTAAGTCCTTCAGACGCTGTTCAACTAGCCCTTTTGCTTTAATAAAGCCCATCGTGAGAAGCTGATGTGGGTGGAGTCCGCAGGAGAGGAATTTTTGGTGCACAATTTTAGCATTGCACAGGGCGCCACTGAAATTTGGGGACACAAAGTCTGCTGCTGGTGGTAATGGGAAAGGATCACACTGGGGATTCCCGTGTTATTATGGCAAGAAGATCCATATACCCTGAATTCTAAAAATTATTAAGAATCACAAGTGTGTGTGAGAGAGAGAGATCAGCTATATTAATCTCTAGCTATATTGAAACCACTAAGCCAAACTGATATTCTAATCAACTGTCTTTAGAAATCAAAACATTATCACCAGATTTAAATGCATGAAACTGTAAAATCATATTTAAATCCCACTTGGAAGTTGCTCCCCCCCTCTGCTTCCATTAGGAGTATATTCTGGAATGTATTTCTCAGAAAAATCTGAACTTTTTAATGGCATCTGGTTCTCATTGAAATGTGGGGGTTTTCTCTGTGGAGTTTTCCAGCTGTGTTGATTGAGAAACAGTAAGGACAAGACACTTGCTAGAGGTCACTGAGGGAATTTCTGGTTCAGTCCAAATGTAAACAGCTTCATTTATATAATACATGGAAGCTTCCAGAATCACTTCATAGCCCTTTCAATAACCATATGCTGGTTGACTTAGAAGAGAGTCAAAGTTTTATTCTGTCATGTGGTGTTTTGGTTCTGCACCCCTCCCCCTCCCCAAGATGTAACACACACACCCCTTGGCATCATTGTAGAATTATCCTGGTTTGTGCTGTTCATGTACTTTGAAGTCACAGAATCTAGCCCTCGGCCTATCAAAGAACAATCCAACATTACACCTTAAACCTACAATCTGAAATTGATCTGAATCTGGCATGTATTAGCCGATCGTAAACCTGACAGTATCCATTTACCTATATTGCCTGGGCTCACGATATACGATATACGATATCTTTATTGTCATTGTCCCATGCAGAACAATGAAATTGAAATATTGCTCACAGTATTGTTGAGCTCGACACTTAAATCTGGCAAGCCTAAGAGTGGGTTTATCCCACACAATGAAAGGAAAATGTGTTCTTTCTCTGCTTCTGCTATAGTGTGAGAAGTAAATATCACAAATCTCTATAGTGATCCTGGGATCTCCGTCACAGTCCACTCATTTCAGTACACGACAAACTGCAAACACTTATGTTACAGCCAAACTGTAAACAGATAAAGATCCCCTAAGAAGACTCCTTAGAATGCTATTCAGTCATTTGGATGTTTATCCCACGAGTCCCAGAGGCTCGAAGCTGGTTACAGTAATTTAAACACACAACTGAAACCAAAATAAAATTTTAAAACTTGTCAAATGTCAAACCCTTCATTTCTCATCTACTCCCACCCACGCCGGCTCTCAGAATACTACTCTCTGATTTGAATCTAGAGATAGAAATCAATTTCAGCCTAATTTGACCAATAAGTGTCGCCTATATGCTTGGGTGGATGACATGACTGTGCCAGGCTCCTTCCTGCAAATGTATCAAGATCAGGACAAATGCCATTGATTTGCAGAGTTTAATTGCATGCATTATGTAGCAGATAAAACTTATCTATAGTTTTCACAATTAAGCACTTGCATGCAACTAAGGTTGGAGATGACAGAAGAGCTTGTAACAGCATCCCCTCACATGTTCAGTTAATGTGTGAGGTGAGGGGATTGCAGCTGCTGGACAAGCCCCAACACGCTCTCTCTGCCTGTCTTTTTGGCTTCTTTATGCTTTTGGCTACACATTTGCCCAGAGTTTATAGTTCATGGCACCCACAGAAGATAAGAGAAAATATGTGCTCAGGAATTCCCCCTCCCCAGCACTCAGAATATTGGGCTAAAGCTCAGCCATGCTTCACCCAAAAGCCATGACTTAACAGCATAGGTTTATTCTAATGTGTTCCACTGAATATTATATTTTCTACCACATTTGGCCCCTTAGGCATGGAAATGAAAGCAGGGTGGTACATTCCAGCCATGTTCTTGTGACCATGTATGGCACTGACCTTCATGTGTACAGCTTGAATTGCCAATGATTAAGACTCTATTATCACACCTCAGAAGCGGGTCCTGGTCTTTTAGTCCACATGGACATTCCAAAATATGCATTCCTTAATAATGCATAGCAGATTCGTACATTTTCTGCACACCACAGATGCATGAACTAGCATGGTTTCCTTTTTGTCTAGCCATTATTGAGATTCAAGAGTGTGTGGTCAGACAGTTGTATAAAAAGGCTACATTCTTTGGGGGATTTTTGATTATTATTTTTTAATAACTCCTACATTTTAAAAAGCTATCCAAATGTAGTTTCAGACACTTCATCTTGATAAGAACCACAAGATTCTGTTGCAGGCTAAAAAAAATAGCAGAAGAACAGTTACAACACAATTTATGATGGTGCCTGTTTTCTATTAGCCTGGAAATATAACAGGAACTAGATCTTAACACTTTCCTTTTGGCCCTAAATTCAACCATGGAACGCAACCCAGCACGGAAAGATGAACAGAGAAAAATTAATCAAATGCTTCAAGGCTCAATGAAAAAGAGTTTGTTCACTTTTTAACTGGGAAGACTAAAGATCACATTTACTCACAATTTAGTTCTCATATTTGGAATACTGTACTGTATTGTTCTGATTCAGTAAAGTAGAATGTTCAGGTCCACTACAATTTTCTATTCTGCCCTGAAATCTCTAACCAAGATTGCCTGTTAACAATAATCTTTTCTCTTGTACTCCACATATTTTAAAGCTTGAGGCTTTCTGATGAGGCAGTAAACAGAACTATCCCCATTAGTACCTATTTGTGACAACAGATGGTGTGTGAGAGAAAAACATGTGGCTAGACAACCCAAGGGTATCAGGCTGGGCTCATAGGCACTTCCATACAAACCCCATGAGCTGTGCATCCCATAACCAACCACTCGGATTTTATTGGAAATGGGTTTGGTAATTGCTAATTAGGAAGGGCTGTGCTCATTAGGGGAATTATTCTATTTAATACAAGTGGAAGAAAAATGAAATGGGTAAACAAGGCCTAAATTTTGAGAGACTTACTCATAACTAGAAGCTGACTCAGGCTGTGTACAGATGCAATTATTTCAGACTGATTTCCCTGCTCCTACTTAGCTGGCTATGTAGCCCCTCTTCTGCTTCAGTAAATATACTGTAATAAAGTATGTTGGCATAGCCACTTATAACCATAGTGTAATGATGCGAGAGTCTTGCTATGAGCTCAACAGCTTTGCTGGGGAAGCCTGTCTTCTCCTTTAAAACCTCAGACGTTAAGGTCTAGTGCTGGAAAAAGGAAAGCATTTTGTAGGGGCAGAGGGAAAGAGTTGTAAAATAAGAAGAAAATGATATTGAAGTGGCATACTAAATCATCTGGAAAAGGTGATGGGCTGGGCAGAGAAGTTCCTGCTGTTAAGTCTAGTCCACTGCATACAATTGTACTTTCTCCTCTCCTTACATTATATGAAAATTGAATAGAAAATGGTTTCTCCTGACAGGCCATGGTGGTGATTTAAAAAGTGAAATGAAAAGCAATAGGCAGAGGTTTCAATAAGCAGGTGCATTGCTGCTCAGATTGAACCATACTGAGATTACTAAAATGCATGCTGCACTAACACGATTAGTGCATAAGGTAAATACCACAGACTGCTGTGCTCATGGAACATGAGAAACATGGGCACAAGCCAGCTAAGGTAGAACTGATTTAACTCCCAATGATTTCAACAGAATGCATTTGACATTCCTCTTATGGGGAGATGGATGGAATTAAGAGAGTTTAACTTTGGGAGGGGTTTTTTAATGCCCTATGTAAGTCACATAGTTATTACTTCATTGCTGACATCACAAGAAGAATGTGTTGAGAACTTCTTCAGTCCAACCTTTGGGGTTGTAGTCCTGCAGGGCACCAGTTTGAGGAAGGCTGCCTTTAAGAAAGACCACTTTTTCTGGATATAACTGCCTACAGAACTTCTATAGAAATACATGCTTCACCACCCACTTCTTGCTCTCATGTCTTTAGATGATGAAAAGTGTTAAGTTGTGGGCGAATATATCAGACAACACAGCGATTCTTCAAACAGCTCTTGTTTATTCAGAGGCCAGAACAGAACTGAGCTGAAGGGCTCAGTCAGCCTGCTTCTATAGAGCTCCAGTACAACGTTACTGTTGCAACTTTCTAAAACTATCCAATCACTGAACATCATTTTCAATCCTTCATTTGCATAACTATCTACAGTATCCCCCTGCTGGTCCAGGGTGAGAACTTCAATACATAGCAAAAACCAACTTAAGTTAGAATCATAGGGTGGAATTCAACACTGTGGTAGTACAAAAGTTCTGACAGTTTGCTAGATGTAATAATCCGCCCCCCACTTGCTGTCCTGGGCTTTTCCCCAACCATGCTCAAGCCAATAATTTTTTTGGGGGGGGGGGGAGAGGAGAAAGCCACACTGTGTAAAGCCCCCCTTGCACAAGGTTTTAACTGACAGGGTTTGTTAGGTGATTTGTCTATCTTTACCCTTCAAAAGCAAAAAAGAAATGCAATGCTAAAAACTAACTCCTTCATTGCATTATATGTAAACAGAAGCAGTCCGGAATTATTTTTGAATGAGGAAGAACAGCAGGTTTCATTAGCAACTTGTAAATAACACAGATTCTGGAAAAGATAATTAATTGCAACACACAGCTTTTTAAGTCCATGCAATAAGTTTGTTTTTCATACAGTACCATCTGGAAGAAGGAATTTGCAGAAAGGGACTCTTAGGGAGATAATTGCCTACCACGAATAACAAGAACAACGCCCTTGAGGTCAATTACATAACTTTAGCAAATTTTAATAGGCTAGATTTGCATCTGCAGGCTGCAGTCTTTAAATACATTATCCAGAGGAAGTCCTGGCTCACATATGCCAGTTTGTTACTTAATGACTACAGCATCAAATGGTGCCTTCCATGTGTGAATGAAGGCCAAACTGGTTATGATCAGATTACCTGTTCCTTTCTAACATTCTGCTTTGTGGGATACCCTTGGAAAAGATGTAGGAGGTGCACAGGGGGAAAAGTGAAGTTCCATTAAACAAGCAGAAATCCTTGCATTAATGGGACAAGCTAGCCACATACCATCCAGGATGTGACCATGAGGCAGCTACAGCAGCCACTAACAGATACCCATCCAGCCTCTGCTTAAATATCCCCAGAGGATGAGAGCCCACCAACTACGGAGGCAGTCTGTTCCACTGTTGAACAGCTCATAGCCTTCAGAATTTTCTCCTAATGTTTATCCTAAAACAGCTTATTTGCAGTCTTCACCCATTGGTTTTAGTACTGCTCTCTGGCGCAGCAGAGAACGAGGCCACAATCATACAATACATCTTAAGCCCCAAGATACAACTTTAAACCAGGCATGGCCAAACTTAGCCCTCCAGATGTTTTGGAACTACAATTCCCATCATCCCTAGCTAGCAGGACCAGTAGTCAGGGATGATGGGAATTGTAGTCCCAAAACATCTGGAGGGCCAAGTTTGGCCATGCGTGATTTCAACACTCAGGGGCTTCCACCAAATAATTCTGGGAGTCAGGGGTAGCATGTCCCATTTCACAGTTTAAGGCAAAACGGAGAGTGCCACCCTGACCTGCTGACAATACCTCCGCCTGTGCTGCTCGCCCCATCACCTCCACCACTGGCAGAGAAGTGGCGCAGGCATCAGTGCCAATTTCCAGTGTAATTGTGCCAATTTCCAGCAAGATCAGTGCAATTTGCCCAAAATCAATGAAGCTTCTCTGCCAGTAGTGGGGCAGGCACAGTGCTGATTTCGGGGCTTCTGCCACCTGAGGCAGAGGCCTCACCCCACCTAATGGCTGTGCTGGCCCTGCTCAGAGTTGCAGTTTGTTATAGGTGTTTAGACTTGTTGGGAGGCTCTTACTACCCTCCCAGAGCTGCAATTTTCAGAGTGCTTAGCAATCAGTCCCTCTTCACAGGGAATGTGAAGCTTATAGCTCTGGGATGGGAATAGGGGTCTCCTAACAATTCTCAGCACCCTTAACAAACCACAGCTCCCATAATTCTTTGGGGGAAGGCATGCCTATTAAATGGATATAATGCAGCTTTAGAAGTACAATGCAGATGTGGTCTGAATGTTGATTAACAAACCAGGGAAATAAATCAAGATGTGAGGCAAGAGCATGTGGTTATGGCATTTGTCTACAGTTTATCTAGCCTTGGAGCCATGGGCTTGGAGGATCATTCATGCATGGGCAGTGTTTTGATAACTGAAGGCTATATTTCACTTAATTCTTTTGATGGAGAAATTTCAATCTGTACTGTTTCATGGCAACCATCCTCCTTCTTTGTAGTGGTTTAACAATGTCAAGAAAAAAATGTATTTTCCAGTTTTGCCCAGACATTTGGATTATGCATCGAGTGAAAGTGGTCAGGAATCAACTCCAGTAAAAATCAGTTGTCTGGCAACCTTTGCTGCTTATCATGATTGTTAAATCATTAGGAACACAGAAATAGCATAATACTCATGCCATAAAGACAGGAGTCTGGAGATGCTGGGCATCTAATGCATCTGCTCAACTCCATCAATTTTCTTTAACAAGACAAACAAGACATTAATTTAAGCCTAAGGAAGGCACGCACTGCCTTCTGCATCATGGCTATGTTTGAGAATGCTGTTACGAGGGCATTCCCTAGTCATGAAAAGAAACATTTCTTAAAATATTTATTTACTCTCACACACATATTCTGGAGATACTCTTATGAGGATGACAGTTCGCATCTTTTCATTTATTGCCTTGCCTTTTCTGTTAACAGGTGTGCTAGCAGAAAAGAAACAAATATTGCTCTCTACCACATTCCTTTTCCTTTCTGTCTATTTATTGTGGGAAGCCAAGGCCACCTCAGTAATCTCTGTTCAACGTTGTCCTCAAGGCTGTCTGTAGGTTGTCTACCTGGGATTTAGGAAGGTATTACAGTATTCTACACACAAGACTGCTGTGTTAACATCATCTGTGCTCTCTGTGCTGAACTTTGGCTACAGGATTAAACTTACACAGGGGTTGCTAGCAAACATGGTTGGTTTAACAGGGCTCTATACAGGGTCCAAGCAGGGCTCTAAAACACAAGCCTTGGGAAAGAAGAGTCTAAAGGTTGTGTCCGAATACAATACAATTAGGGCTGCCAGTGCTGTAGATGTTTCTTTTGTCTTGGCAAGGCTACTGTACTTTCAGCAGTTTCCTGACAAGCAAACATCCAAAAGGCAAACCTTTTCCTCATTATTGCATCTTTGTGCCAAGCAAAGCCGCATTTCTGTGTGCTATTCCACTGCTGAATGCCTAGCAAAAATCCTCAGAAGCCCTACCTACTTCCAAGCAGGTCAGAAGCTTGTATGAGAGTTGCTTTGAATGAACAAGCAGGTACAGCAGCTGTTTATTTATTTAACCTATTGTAGAGGTGAAGCATTTGGATTCATCTTGCATCAAAGCTCTTTGCAATATAGGAGTTTCAGAAGTCCAAAGTTCAGAAATGGTAATGAGAAATATGGAAGTACAGTGGGAAGCACCCAGTACTTACTGACATTATCTCTATGGGTATTCCCAATATCAGTTTCTTCTTGTTCCTTGTTTTACTGATTCGTTCCCAGCTTCAAAACTGCCTGATAATTATTTTAAAAGAGATATGTTTTTCCAAAATACTTCTACTGTCCCTAATTCCAGGAGTGGAAAGGCGGGCAGTTTCTTAAACGGCAACATAACACACTTTACAAAAG